AGAGGAGGAAAGAACAAACTGGGCGATGGAGGATGGGAGAGAAAGCGGTGCGGCACTTGGTCTGCATCGCTGGGACACGTCCTCCTTTGTTCAGATGTGTTCAGAGCTTCTGGATGCATCCACACAAACTGCTGTCACGTCGTTTTCTCCCCTCGGTGCTTCGCTTTAATCGGGCGGGTGTTCGTTTTTCACTCCAACAAAGTGAAGGCGCCACCAGACGTTATGAATGAAAACTAGCCAGCTAGAAAGACACGGCAGTATATCAATAACCCCCCATCACCACCATGACAAACTTGAGGAAGCTGGCAGAAAGCATCATTGTGACGAGAGGGGAGCTTATGATAATGGGAGTCGGGTCTCCTTCTACGCGTCGGCCTGATGGCATCTGCTGCCTCCACTGATCACCAAATTATACATGAAGTCCATTCCTGACCTCCTGGAGGACTCCTCCTCCTCCTCCTCTGTCTACTTGCTGCTTTGTCTTCATTCCTCCTCCTTTGCACAGCTTCTCCCCCCTCTTTGCCTCCTCCCCTCCCGGCTTTGTCCTCTCATTGTCTCCTCTCTTTTTCTCTCTCCTTTTCTTTACAACAAGTGGGAGACGGTTCTAAGTGTGAACCCAGAGGGAGTGGAACACAACCCTTCCCCTCCTGCACCTCCTCATCGCTCCATCTCTCCTTCTTCTTCTGTCTCTATTCTGAGCACCTCTCAATCACCCAGCCCCCGGAGACGGACTTCTTCTGCCCACTACCATGAGGAGGATGCTATCCCTTCTATAGCGATACAACATTCCTCTTCACCATGGACACACTCGCAATGACCGATTGGTCCAAAATGTAAAAAACACTTTATGGTTTCATTTATTTACTTCATTCATTTTCTTTCCATAAAACAAAACCGTGGTGATCAGATATCTCTGCTAGATATTTAGATGAGATGAGAATAAACAGGAAACTCAATTTGTTGGTTTGACCTAAAAACAATTTTCATGGGCCATTAAAAAGATATTTACCCGAGGCAGATGTGGAGCGGGACAGGTGGTACGAACAGAATAGAACCACCTCTTCCAGCCCCAAATACAGTTCCGGATTGGTTCTGGTCCCAAATCTAAACCGTTTAGTGGACTGAACACAAAGGCACGCCGCCCCCCACGGGGTGTGGATGTGACCCTTCCACTGGCTGTAACCATCAGCATCTTCATCATCAGGTGACGCTGAATGTAAAGTCCAATACATCGATGTTGGGCACTTTTTCCCCCTGGACGTGGAGACGTGATCTATGGAGAAAACGCGTACGCGGGGGCCAGGAAGCGTGTCCCACTAAGGGCAAAAGGACATCATTGCAAAATGTATTGTAATTGTCAATATAACCCAATAAATGGACCCCCCTGATCACCTGACTTGACTGGGACTGCTGTCGGCGTTTATTTTAAACCAGCTGGACCTGTGAGGCCCTCGGTGGCCTGACACGCGGCTACTCGCTCTACCCACGCTGGCTTTGAGACCCGGGTGTAGCTCGGGTTGGAAGACAGACTGGGGGAGGATTTGGGGGAGGAACCAAGAGAGGATGCTGAGGATCTTTAATATGAATATCAACGCCTACCATGTTAACCCATGTTAGAGGATGCACAGACAACACTGAGCTCCTGCTCTGTTCCGTTTCATCAGAGCCCGAGAGCCAGAGGTGTACAAGTACAGATACTAGGGTTTAAAAAGACTCCTGTAGAAGTATCGACTCAAGCTTTTTACTTAAGTAAAAGTATAAAAGTACTGGTTCCAAAACTACTTAAAGTATAAAAGTAATGTAAGAAATTCCATTAAGGACAAACTCTTAATGTGTAACCTCGCTCACACAACCCGTCAGTCCGTCACAATGTGATCAGAAGGCGCCTGCAGATCACGTGACCTGCCGTTGGGATGGTGGAAACAACAACAACAACAACAACAACAACAAATGGATCTAACAGATAAAACCACAACCCATTCTCCAGTGACACGAGTCCCAAGTTTCCACCGAGCACTTTTCCCACCCGGTGTCGCTCCGAGCTGCCGGCGCATCGCGGAGGAAACCAACCGGGTGTCTGGATGCTAAATGTTTATATTCTCATCCAACCACAATCACATTCACTGTCCGCATAGCCACATTTATCTACACGGGTTTTTTTGTCTTTGGGTTTTTGAACTACGACAAGCCAGAAGTAACGAGGCTGTTTTTAAAATGTGAGGAGTAGAAAGTACAGATATTTGGGTGAAAATGTAACGAGTAGAAGTAAAAAGTCGTCTGAAAAATAAATACTCCAGTATAGATACCCAACATTTCTACTTAAGTACAGTAAGGAAGTATTTGTAGGTACAAGCCGTTAGCAGAGCAGGAGATGAAATGAAGCCCACCTTTGCGTTGGAGGGGCAGTGTGGTAAGTCATGAGAGGCAGTGGGAGGGTGGAACTGGCTGATGTGACTGAAGGCTCTCCATTTCTTAAGGCTACGCCTGCGGTTATCCCCCCCCACCCCTCCGGCTCACAGCGGGGATGTACTTTCAATCACTTTGTCCTCTAAAAACTTTTTGACAGGTTGCAAAAAAATCTTTTTCTTCCTCCTCCACAGCAGAAAACATTCTTCTCTGTGCCGTTGACTTTGTTTGTTCTGGACACCGATGACTTCGAGTAGAAAGAATCCAGCAGGGGACAAATGGTGCTTCTACTTTCAAGACCTGCCTCAAAACGGCTGCACTGCCATGACGCCTCCCTTCCTTCCCTCCCGCAGAATTACAGGACGGTCAGGCGAGCGTGTTTGATAAATAGCTGGCACCTCTACAGTCCAGACAGTGCCGTCGGGCTCTGCCTGCAGCTGTTATCTTCAAAGTGACACCGTGATGCTGACCGACTGCGCACACACACACACACACACACACACACACACACACACACACACACACACACACACTGCTGCTCCATGTGAGCATCACAGCGCCACTCAGCCACACGGCGCCAGCTGTCCCCTGAACAGCATGCCTCATGGGTCAAATGTGTGATGTTGGTTAAAAAGTAACAGAATGCATTTGACTGAAGGTTGGAGGGAAGTTCCACAATTCTTTGCTTCCATAAGAACATCACCAGCAGACAGAGGAAAGTCTGGCTGGAACTGTGGCTGCTATTGGTGCCGAGTTCATGCAGGAGGTCCAGCGCAGTCGAGGCTTTCTGACCAATCACAACTCATATAAGCTCAACTTCGCATTGATGTATGAAAAAAGCTGATACGGTTGATTGTTGTGGCCCACTGGGATCACAAATGAGGAACAAGGCTTCAATCCGCCACAAGAGTTTTGCTTTCCAAACCCTAGCGGCTGAATTGCTCTTTGGATGGAGGCACTGAGCTGTTGATTTTGCCCCTTTCCTGTGTGATGCTTAGTTTGGTGTTCCGGCTGTGGGTGTTGCTGGAGTGTGTTGAGGCTCCGGGACGGGCAGCTGTCTCACACTTGTTGTTGGGACTCGGGGAGGAACTGTGTGGTCACTGAGTGGATTCATGATCCATGTAGGGGTGGAGGGGGTGGAGGGGAGGGGGGGGGGGGGGGGGCGTTGCCTGCCCTTGGCACCGACTTGCATCAGCTAATCTTGTGAATAATGCAGAATCATGAATAAACATGGATCAATGCAGTGCAATACTGTAAAGGAGACCTGCCTTTACCCCCCCCCCCCCCCCCTCACTCCCTTTCCTCCCTGCCACTACGCCCCTCCCCCCTCTCTGGACACACATTGTAGTGGTGTCTCGGTGCGGGCGGGTCGGGCCTTCACCCCCCCTCAGTGGTTCAAAGGCAGCCATCCAGCAGCACAAAGCCCGCCCACTGGGAATACCCCCACAAAGGAGAAGGGGGGGCCGCTCGCCTCCTTTGCTCCGTCTGAAGCAGCCTGCCTCCACCACCTCCTATGAAAAATACAAAGCTGCCTCCACAAAAAGAAACCCTCCCGCCAGCCCCCCCCCGCCTGTTCCCCTTCTCCTCATTCCTCCTCCTTCTGACTTTAAATGCATCCAGTTAAATGTTACGATCAGTACCTCTTATCTTGAGTTACCATTCACTTTCACTTTGAATGGAAAACAAAAAAATAGATGCAATGTGTCCACATGATAAAACATAGTTAATCCACAGGACACACGTGACACAATGAGAGTTATGACTAATATGTAGAGTATTAACTTGTAAGTAAACCCATAGTACTCAGTGCGAGGCTGCATGCTTCGCTTCCTGATGACATCGCCGCTGTCCCACATCTGCACTCTTTAGCTTTAACTCATTGCAACTAGAAACACTTGGTAGGAAACCCAGTTCAAACATGTGCACGGGTGATGCTTGTGGGAACGTGCGTGTGCATTAATGTGAATGTGTGCACAGGGATTAGGCCGCTATCAGTGGAGCTCTCCCAGCCTGTCAGGCTTTAGAGGGGCCGGACAAAGAGACTGATTTCAATGTAAATGCAGCAGCTGAGAGGACACAGCTCTCTCAGTGGGGTGACTTCCCCCCCCCCCTCTCTCCCACACACTCTCTCTTTCTCAGCATGTATATTTGGTGGGGGAAACATCAAGAGAAAACCAAAGTCTGAGGTTGGTAGCAGCGGCGCTCCGCTCCACGGTGCTGCGGCGCTCTCATTAGGACCGCCATTATCCCCGTGGCCGGGCTCTGCACCTCGTTACATGCAAATAGTGCAGCTTTATCCGAGTGGCGAGAGAGAGCCAGGCTCCAAACAATGGGACAAAGCCATCCCTCCATCTATTACCTCATTCTCCGCTTCAGTGCACACGCCACAGATCTCATGGCGTCACACGTCCCCGTGACAGAAAGGCCGGGGCGGGACGCAGAGACGCGGTGACAGTTACTGTCTTAAAGTGGTTGTAAAGGACCGAGTACGTCCACATTTAGTTTGCTTTTGTTTTCCGATGTAAAACAAGAAAAAGCATAACGTTGACCCGTCCGCCCATAGGGGAGATTAGATTAGGCTGATGAGCACGTACCTGCCAGGTGGCGGCGTGCAGGACGCTGCCTCAGGTCAGTGCTTGCTGCCAGAGGACGCCTTGCCATGGCTGTTCTGTCGTGCACACACCTGTATGCTGTCCCCGCTCTCTGTCTGCAGCTTAACATTTGGTCCGGTGAAGATAGAGGACACTGTGGGGGGAGAAGACGCAGGCCGATTAGAAGAACCAGACCAATCCTTCAGGGTGACTGTTAAAGATGGAAATGGTTATGTAGAAGTGAATACATGAAAGGGTTGGCGGTTCGAGGCCCGGCTGCTCCATGTGCCATATTGAAGTGTCCCTGAGCAAGACACCTAACCCAGTAGCCAAACTGAGAGTGTCCTCTGATGCAGAATACACCCCCAAAAGGCCTTTTCTTTAACTTATTGTACTGAAATCAAACTAAAATGCTCGCGTTGTCTCTGTCCTTGGTAATGCGTCTGTGAGAACCATGGTACACATGACAATAGAGGGCGCCGCGTGGGGGGTTACTGCTCGCCGCTGTCTGTCCCACGGAGGAACGCGATTAGCACGCCGCGGCTGTAGTCAAACACTCACAGCTGGAGTAATTAGCCACTTCTTTATCTACATTCACTTCTCATTTGCATTATTTTGACACATCCTTCACCCACAAAACTGCAAGTGGCAGACACAGAGACACACGGGCCCTCTGGGATTGTCCACTCGGCCCTTATTTTAGGGACTAGCGGCTCTGCTCCTCGCTGTCACATGGGCGTGCAGAGGGGAGAGAGAGCATGACAAGAATCTCTCTTCGTGACCGCCGCTCTCTAATTCATTTCAGACATGAAAACCTGCTGGCTGACGATAACAGGATTAATAGTGCTGAAAAATCATAATCTGCAGGAATAAAAAAATGGAACTCTCCATTAAAATTGCCACCATGTCAGAATAACAGCTTAAGGGATTGGTGATGTATGTAGCGTATCAAATAATATGGACGTGTCATCGCTGACATACCCTCATTCAATAACTCCTCTCTGTGGGATTAATTGAAATAATGGAAACTGGCTGAATCACTGAGCACATGAAACAGCGTTAATGCACATCTCTGATCTCAAAACGGTCACCGCGGCGTCAGACTTCATCTGGACTAACAAAAGGTCTACGAACCAACATCAACACCAGCTAACGTCCTCCTTAAAAAGAAAAGGGTCACAAGAAACCATTTGTGTAATGCACATTATTGATATTGTTTTTACAGACTGTTAAATGTGTTAAACCTGTGCAATTTTAAAACATTCCACACAGATGCTACAAACATGCTACAAACATGCTAAGTTGATTTCAAAGGGGGAAGATTTATTTCTAAATATACACATGTAGGTCAAACCAAGCTGATGGTTATTTAATGTGTAAGATAATATAAAATAACATGAGCACAATACATTAATCCTTCATTTGTCCCGCAGTATGTATATATATATAAAAAAGTAATAATAATACAACTGAAGTGAAATATATACAGAAATATGTCAAGGTCCTGGGAGAAAGATGTAGTATGTGTATAGATTCATTTATAAGTAAATAGTAAAATGTGTGATTGAATTGAAGTATAAATATGTGTGTAGTGTAATATGTCATTAACACTTTTACCACTGCAGATTTATGTTGATTATTTTCAAGTTTTTTCAAAAAAATCTAAATCATCAAATGAAATCACCTCATTAACCCTCAACGTTGCCACATTTGACTGTGCTTCATTACAACCACCAAATGTCTTTGTCTGTAATCGCACACAGCGAAGTAGAATTATAAATCTAACCTTGATTCGTTTGTCACTAACATTATATGAAGTATGACCTCTGCATTGAACCCATCTACAACAACACTTTACTGTATTCGGTGCAGTGGTCTGGTGTCCTTCTTTGGGGTAGTATATCGTATCGTATTCAGCACACAGAAATACGTCTTCAGCTGATGTTTGTTTACCACTGGGGCCGGTAGCAGGGCTGTTGTGAGCTCCCGTCTGCAGTGTGATCACCAGGGACATCGGCACCCTCACACTCACTGAGGCGCGTGGAATTCTGTACATACGTCTCTGTGGATTTGATCTCTCGTGCACTTTAGCTTAGCCATCTTAGTTTAGCTGGCAGGATGAACCCGCGGCTTCAGAGACAGATGTGCGTGCCGGTCTGTGCGTTCGTTACCAAGCAACACACGGGACAGTTGGAGGCTTTTGATACAACTTGAGACCCGGCAGGGATGTGCAGACAGCTTTAACTCGGATACTACAGACAAGCGCTTTGTTTCTGAGCGTATTAATGGACCCAAAGGTTCAGAAGGATTTTTAGAAACAATGACTGAAGTCACACTAAATCTAAAGGAGTTCATCCTATCCGTGTTTTGTTGTGATTTATAAAGTTTTGATAAATCATATTTATAAATATTGTGTGTAGCAACACGAGGGGCGACACATTACAGGTACTTCAGTTAATCTAATCCAAACCACCGTCGTTTCCTCAGCCCGACCCAGCAATGACCAAGCAACTTCACCAGGCTGCCATTTGAAAGTTCACTTTGAGAAGATTGTTCTTCGTGTAACAATGACTGAAAAAGCTTTGGGAGATCTTCCATCCGCCCCCGTGACCTCATGTTGTATTGCCACTACTGTGCTGCTGCTTTGCTGATGAAATGCGCCCACGCTGCAGCGCTGCACAGCTGATGTGTCGTACGTACTGTCCTGCAGCTCCCAGAGCCGCGGAGGAAGGTTGCTGAAGTACTCGTGGTTCAGCGCCGCCTGGGCCGACAGGCGGTTCTTTGGGAAACACTGCAGGAACCTGCTCGCCAACTCCTCGGCATGGTCCACGTAGCCCAGCCTGAGACACACAAACACACGTGATCAGGAACACACACACGCAGCAGAGTATATATAGTCACCTATCGTACCATTCATTCCTCTCTGACAACAGAAAAACAAGCTGAAGGTCTGCTGACCCAAAGGGAAAAAACCTTAGAGACGCACACACACATGCTCACAGCGCGCTGCTCTGAGCTCGCCTCGCACACGGCCAGTGGGTCACCGTGGAAAACACAAAGCGTTCATTAAAGCTGCCGCTCTGTGAAGGTGTGTGTGTGCGTTGATACTGGGAGTCGCTGAACTCCTGAACCAGCCCTTTATTGCAGCGCCGACGGGGAGAAAGATTGAAAATAAACAAAGAGCAACACATTCAGAGAGTAATTAGGCCTCCACTGCATTAAATAAACATGATGTTATGAGCTCCCGGTGCCTGCGTGCTCCGCGAGCTTCTCATGGACAGCCGCTCCCATAGCTCCCAATGGGGGTCTCAGCTCCACCCATCAGGAGGAGGAATCTCTGTCAGCGCCTATCAGCAAAGAGGCAGATGAAGTTAGTCCACCAGGGCCTCTTCTTTGGTTGGTGAACGGGTGTTTAAGGAGAGCCTGGTAGTGGGACAGAAGACAGAAGCTGAAGCTGCAGATGAGTAAAAATGACTCATAGTACAGCTCATTTATTTAAGGTCAATGTTCAACCATCAAGCTCAATCTATCTGCGCTCTGGATTCTATCCATTTCCCCCACAAACACTACAATGGCCGACATGCAACAAGCCGTGGAGCCGTTCTTCCCCGACGCGACTACTACACATTACACGTTAACATCAAGACACAAACAAATGGGTCAAAAACGCAAACGGTGGTCTTGTATTCAGTAACTATTATGGCGTGCCCAGTGAAGTCCCACTCTAGAACCCAGGAATCAAGGACAACTCTGGAACAGGGAACTTAACTTGGCAAAGGATTTGCTTTGTAGTTTCCCTGCAGGCATCAGGCCAAGCAGGCCGATACGTTCAGGTGTGAAATCACCTCGTTACGAGCAGGACGGCCTTTGAGCAGTGTCGGCGCACAAAGGGGGCACATTCCTTCGTGCCATCGCTGTCCGCTCGGCAGTGTGACTGAGTGTTGAGATCGATCGTATCTCCTGAAACGATCAAACCGCTGCGGGTGATGGCACATCCCGGCAGAGAGAAGCATTCCTCCTTCAGCGGCGCATGGCGGGTGCCGCTTCGTGGTATTCTATCAGCGAGCTGCAGCGAGGACCCGGGGGAGGCGAGAAGCAGGCAGCCACCTGCCCGTAACGCCCCCCCCACCACAGAAAGCCGCAGACCGGTCTCTGCTGGGACAAAGCTGCCGCAGGAGCCCTGTAGACGTCCCACTATGAGCTGTTCATTCAAGGATGCAACTAGGACCTGCAGACGGAGGGCCTCAGCATGACCCTTCTAGTGGTCCCGTTCTTAACCCACCAACGCTCATGTGGTTGTGTCTTTGCTGCCCAGTGAGAGCAAAGCATGCGTTGTGCGCTGGGACAGGACTGTCGATCAGGGAACCTGCGTCGCTCTGGTGACACCTGGTTAAGGTAACTCGTTCACAGGCTTACATTGCTTCTGCTGGATGAGGACAACCAGCAGGACGGGGACACGGCTGACAGACCAACTCTCAGGGCGGAGACAGAGTGAGTGTCCATCGCTCCCTGGCCGCCGATACAACCTCACACGCACTTCTCCGCTCACTCACCCACCGTCGCCCGCAGTGGGGAGCACGGTCGTCCTCCATCACAGGGTTGGTGGTTCCATCCCAGGCTCTGCTAACCCGCATGTCCATGTGTCCTTGGGCAAGACACTGAACCCAACATGGCTCCTGTAGCTGTGACTACAGTGTGTGAATGTTAGTGACTGATGGCAGGTGTCACTGTGTGTGGTTCTCCTGTTATCAGTGTGTGAATGGGTGAATGATGTCATCAGTGTGTGAATGGGTGAATGATGTCATCAGTGTGTGAATGGGTGAATGATGTCATGTAGTGTTAAAGCGCTTTGAGTGGTCAGAAGACTAGAAAAGCGCTGTACAAGTACAGGCCATTTACCATTCTTCTGTCCCCTTTGCTCACATGTTTGTTTCCTCCTGGAGACACCCCCCCCTCCAGATGTACTCATGGGGAACACAGCATCTGGGACCGGCCCCCAACTCTGCCCCAGCGACCTCGTCGATGTGGCACTTGTCCCAGAGCAGAATAGTACACACACACACACACACACACACACAGGTTGTATGCTGCAGGAAAGTAGAGGATGGGAGCTGCAAAGAGTGCGTTCACTTCCCCGCGGAGTAGCGCTCAGCAGACAGGAACGAGGGTACTAGAGTCCGCTACAACATCCCATGACATTACACACACACACACACACACTGAACTCGTGTTTGAGTGGTTCACTTACTTATTCCACGCTTGTCTGAGCTTCTTAGCGCTGTAAACTGTAAAGCGGTCTGTAATGAGAGGAGCACAACAAACCAATAGTTTATTCCAATCGTCACATATAGAAACCGTAGCAGAAGCTCAAATGGGCAGATCCTTTCCATTCCTGCCTCGGGTTTGAATTTGAAACATGTGCAAGAAGAATCAGCAGGAGGAGATAGTAACTTAAGAACACTTGGGAAACGGCGGCATGAAATTAATCGAATTGATTGAAAAGAGGATTTTGAAAGTGAAAGGCGCTGCATTCTAATCCTACCTCACTATCCATACAGGGATTCACTGTGTCCCAATACAGGAATGTCCAAAATACCAAAAACACCCGTTCTGTAATTTGCAGGCTAGAAAGCGTTTCAGGCTCTTCTGACCCACAATCCTTTGCAAAGAGGATAAATGAGTGAGTGAACGTTTCCAGTTGACTGCATGCTGCACGTAACTCGTACTACTGTTCTGTAACATCATGTACTACAATGAAATCTGAGTCCCTGGAGGGAAGTGAGCAGGGATTATTGATGTGTGTGTTACAGGTAGTTGTTCTGTGAATACCAACTTCACTACATGGAAATTGTGGTGCAACTCAAAAACAGGAGTGCATAAAACAATAAAAATAAATTGTATGTCCATCTTCAATGCACTAAATGACAAAAAGTAATTTCACAAAAAAATAAAAACGACACAAATTTTAAAAATGATATATACATATATTCCATTTTTCAAGGTCTCTGAAAGTGCCTCTTGTCCATTTGTCGATGCCTGTAGGCGTTCTCAGACGGCGGACGCTGAGCCACATAGCAACAGGCTCGGGATTGTTAGCTCGGAGTTTCTCCCTCACACCCGGTCCAATCACATGCGGGCTGGGTGGAGCAGGGGTGGATGATGGACACAGGGTGGATGAATCGAATGACAGAAGGATGGATGGCCCGACTTTGAATCTACTTACTTTTACCATGAACACCTATCAAGCAATTGTAATATCACAAGGGGATTTTTGCTCTTTATTGATTATTTGACCATCTATGATCATGTCTGCGTCGATGTATGTTGTATATGGATGCCTCTCTCCAAATCAAAAAGCATCCTTTCTGGGGATCATACACTGAACAAGTCATTCTAAATATTATAACCTCTTTAATGATACACAATGGCCCCTTGACTTTCTTCTTTAACCTGGCACTAGTCGCAACACATGACTGCAAACAGCCGAATGGGGAATCGTTCCATAACTGCAGAGGATGTGAAAAAGAAGCGGGGCCTCCAACCACCCGGTGCTGATGAGATCCAACCGTAAGAGCATGTTTGGGACATGAACGTGATGAATCACAGCCAGAGGAGCTGTTAGGGAGACGCACTCCTGCCCCCTGCTGGGCCGGACATGGAACGAGCTGCTCTCACATCACTGCGTAGACTCGCGTCAAAGACCTCGAGGATCCAGGTTATTATCATACTTTCCCATCAGTCCAAACTGACTCTGGTTTGATCACGGCGGGTCAGTCGCATGTGGACGGGTGAGGCAAAGCGGGAAGCGGAACCATTTAGCTGGTGTTACACAGAAATCTGTCCCCTCTGAAAAGTTGTGCATTTCCTTTTTTTAATCTATGTTGTTGTTTATTTTATCTTACTTCTTTCTTTTTGCACATACCATATAACTACATGATATAAAGAAGCACAAAAATAAGAGTATTTTAAAGTTAATCATCAAAACAGTGCAAGTGCATCTGGGGATCACTATCTCATTAAATGTGGAGATGTTTATTTTTCAACCATACCAAAAAATAACATATAAATATATCGACATTGTATATAAATGCCATGACACGTAAAGCTGATCCTCTTGGTCTGCCTGCGTTTGTTGAAAGTGCACACACCACATGAGCAGATGCAATGCTTGGTGTGTGTGTGAGAGGCAAACATGAGCCGAGCGTCGCCATGGCCACGGGATGAGCGCGTGCATGGGGACGGGTTGTGTGTGCGTGTGACCACGAGGGCCCTCCGGTTGGTCCCTAATTGGCCACTGGAGATGTGAGGTGGCTCTGTGACGCCATCGCTCCGACCGTCTTCACGTCTCTGCGCTCGTCCTCTCTCTCTCAGTCCATCAGCCAACACTAATCTGCAGTCCCTCTATTCATGTTCCCTCTAAAAGCCCTAATGAGCTCCCAGAGGGCATGGCGGCCCTGGCAGAGCTGCCACCCCCATGCCCAGCCCCTCCTGCCCCTCCTGCTGCTGTATGCATGTGTTACAGTGAGACCTGGTTCATGTTGGTGATGTATATAAACCACGTAACCCACCTCAGTGTGGCTCATCAATGGCACACAAGCAATACATATCCAAAGGAACTGTTAGGCGGAATTATATTTCATGGGTTGTGTAACGCTGACTCCTAATCGCCACGGCAAACAAGCTTCTTCATCGTGTGCTCAGATGTTCCACAAGCCAAGGAAAATATTACCACAACTCACTCTCACATCCAAAAAGTCCATCAGAGTAACGTATGCTAATCATTTATTATAAGTTATGTTTAGCCCGTGCTAACACATACGATGCAGCATGCTAACCATTTAGCATACAAAACACTCATCGTACAGAGTTCCCTGTATTCAATGTTCACCCTCTGGGCAGCGTTGGGTGGGACTCTTCAGTGAGGGTTTACAGCAACAGGGTCGCACCTGGTTTGAAGTGAGGCAGAGAGGTAACGCCGGGCCAGCTGTCCTCTGAGGGGGTGCCGATGACCTGGAACACACACACAGGAGAGACATTGCAGCAAATACAAACCAAGTACACGCTCTTTGCTGTGGCTTTGTGCCTAGCATTTAACAGTTAGCATGAGAAGCTACAGTATTAGATGGATCACACAGATTTAGGTCAGTACTCATAAAACAATACAACTATATATGATTGACTCTCAATACAAGTGTGTCAGGGAAGCAAAGCAGGTAAAGCATATAAACAATGCATCAGGCATTAAATATATGGGTTCCGCATTGAGAGACTCCAGCAGCAGTCATGGTCGGCCCAGCGTTTATGGAGAGGTCGGCTGGAGTTCTCAAGCACACGGCCCAAGGTTTATGAGGACAGAACCCAGAGACGTGCCTTCCACACGATCCCTGGCAGCTCGGCAGCATAATAGTTTCCAGATGGCCTACAGCATGGGAGGTGCTGCTGGAGCCAATGTGGGCTCATCTCCATTTCTGATGGCTGCCTTTCATGTGGCTGACGTCTGGGATTCAGAAGATACATCTTTCCATCCGCAGAAACAGCCCAGGTCAGGAAGGAAAATGTTTTTAAAAACCAGAGGAATTTAATAGAAAAGGGTCAGAGGCTAGTTTGCCTCATGTTGGCCCCTTGTGGGAGTCACAGCGGATGTAGTAACAAATCACCACACTAGAGGGCAGTCCAGCACCAGCAGGCCGGCCTCAGGGAGCCTTCTGTACAAAGAGAGCGGGGCGGCGCAGCTGCTGGACTTCATGGGAAGACGTCCCGTGGTTGGAAAAGGTCATGGATTATTTCAACATTAAAACATTAAGCCAACCGGTCAAATGACTTCGCTCACTCACACATCTGCTACTAGTGTGTCAGTTCAACGTAAAGTCAGCAGACAGAACCTCGGGCAGAAGGAGAAAGTTCTGCCTCAGAGGAATCTGTGAGGTCAATGGTCGTGACCCTTTGTTCTGCAAACATACATACACCTAAAACTCCATGACAGCCAGACACAAACAAAGAGGAGGTCCGACCTTCACGGGATCCCCCAATTATATTTAGCAGGCAGAGAATGGAGGGATTACAGACGTCTGTGTGTGTGAGACGACTCATCAGTGGACAGGGCAGCTGCCACAAAGAGCTCCAGAACATCACATGCACATCATCTCCCGCCCTCATCACAGCCCCAGTGAGCAGCTCAGGCCCTCCTGGTCGTCAGTGACAAGCTGAACCAAATGGGGAGGACTATGCTGGTCCACGTGCTGGTAGCACACGGAGCATCATGGTCCACGTGCTGGTAGCACACGAAGCATCATGGTCCACGTGCTGGTAGCACACGGAGCATCATGGTCCACGTGCTGGTAGCACACGAAGCATCATGGTCCACGTGCTGGTAGCACACGGAGCAGCATGGTCCACGTGCTGGTAGCACACGAAGCATCATGGTCCACGTGCTGGTAGCACACGGAGCAGCATGGTCCACGTGCTGGTAGCACACGGAGCAGCATGGTCCACGTGCTGGTAGCGCACGGCTGCAGGGGACGTGAATGTAAGCACACACGTAATGTAAGCTTGTACGTCCGTGTCTGTCACGTGCACTGCAGTCTGTTCACATGGGCAAAATCAAACCAAAGGTGGGCTCATTTAGCCCACCAAATACAAAAATCTAGTTATTTTCAGAATGATATTTGTCAGACGATGTAATTAGTTGGCGTGGAATGGTATTTTTGTGATTCTGGTAGTAATTGCGTGTGAAACTCGATTGGCTGTAAATTGCCCCTAAATTCAATTAGATTACTTGGCATCAAGCAGGTATTGTCTTCATGTGAGTAACTAGGGAGGGGCTCCATGCTGATATCGGATCATGCTGGGATTCAGTCCCTCGGGGTTGGAACTGTCTCTTGGTGTGTACGTGGCCTCTTAACCCACACACACACATTCCTACCTCCACTCTGGGCCTGTGTCCTGACGCTGACCCCGGGCCTCCTCCCACTTTGACAATCACAGTCCCACCCTGGCTGCTCCCTGATCCGATTGGGAGGAGGTCCAGGGGATCAGAACCAGAGCCAAGTGGATCAGCTGTCTGCCCTGCGGCGGTGGAATGTGTTCAGTGAGCTCTGACCATCCTGTCTGGGTTCAGCAGGTGGGGGCTCATGTCACTGACACAGCGCCTATTATTTTCTCCCAGCAGCGTCTGGCTCTGTCCCAAGGGAGGCTCGCATGGTCACTGGGCTCTGCTACGATACAGAGAGGCGAGTGAGCCGGACCCTTGAAGCTGTCACGGTGTGGATTTGTTTCCTGTCTTATTTAGTAGTTTCCTGCTCCTTGTGTCTCCGGGTTACTTCACTTACTGCCTTGTCCTGTGATTGTCTGGTTGTTTCCACCTGTGTCCTCCTAGTGTATCTAAGCCCCGTGTGTCTTGCGTCCATTGATTGTTCAACCCTGGATGTCCTACTCTCAGTGTCTTTCCTGTTCCTGTCTGCGTTTTGCTTTCCTTTTGTTTTCAAACTCTGCGTTTGAGTCCTGCACACCTTCCCGTTGGTGACAGAAGCATGATGTTCTCACGGTTCCACCCGGGGAGGCTCAGTCACAGGCAGCGTCCTCCCGCCTGTCTGAGGCCCTTTAAACAACTGACTGATGGACTGGAAGGTGCTTTATGTTGGACTACAGAGGCTCCGTGTCCGCTCCGCACTACGTGTAGGGTGGATCATCAAAATACACACCTCCTACCAGGAGACGCCATAGAACATAGGACAAGAGAAGATAAACGGATGGACAAACCAATGGAACACAAAATAATAAGTGGCCTAAAATAACTACAGACGTGTCATTACTGAAGTAATGGCCCCCCTAACGTCCCACATTCAACACGCAGTCACAGTCACTGGGCTCACGATGCAAAATATGGCAACTACAGGGCATGAATCAGACTCTGCATCATTTCTACACCAACACTAATCATCATCTCTATTGCTGTGAAGCTCTAATCTGATGAATGACGTTAATCACGTGTGAAAAAGCCAACGTGTTGGTGGAAGCACCAGAGCCTGCGCCCAGAAACACCAGCTATGCTATTATCCACGTTGCTTCTATTCCACTATTCACATCACAGGTCATTTAGCCGGCGCTTTTATCCAAAGTGACGTGCATTACACTTTTAACCCATGGCTCTTACATGTTTGCCCGGGGAGCAATTAGGGCTTAGGTGTCTTGCTCAGGGACACTTCGACATGGAACATGGGGCAGCCGGGACTCGAACCACCAACACTAATATAAGGAGGCGTACACACACCTCAGAGTGGACAGTGGACATTTCCGCCCTGTCTCTCTTCATATAGTCCTTGCAGTGGGCTGACAGCTAGTTAACCAGCTGGCGGGGGCCGGCCCCGTCCCCACATCCGCACAGAGCACCTAGAGAGATGGAACCATAGAGAGTTCTGCCCTGTAACGGTCACATGATCAAACCAGTGAAAGCAGATGGCTGGCTGCATCAAGGTGCACTGGACATGGTAGGAGGAGAGGACCACGTTTCTATATGAACGATGCTTGCTGATCAAATACAGTCACAATATCTTTCTGATGGAGCAGTGTCAGCAGTATAGAGAGCTGAGGCGGAAGGCAAAGCCCTCTGGTCGCGAGCGCTGGGTGGTGGCGATTTGGTGAGGAGACATAAGAAATAGGCCGGGGATCAACATCTCCCTGCGGATATCTGAACAATCCTGCTGGCCCCTCAGATAGGATGAAGATAACGGATGGACGCAACATCAGAGGCTTCCTTCCATTATCTTCTGAATGAGGATAATGACCTTGAATATTGTAACACTCCCCTTAAACACTGCAATGAGCAGCAGTGGATGTCAAGAGCTCTCCTTTCTCACAAGAAAGCAAGCGGCCCGGTCTGCAGATCGGCAGACATCAGAACAAGCGCAGGCCCACGAATGACATTCCCCATCTGAGGACGTTTTAGGTGATGAGGCTGACCTTTCCTCTTCCTCTCTTCAAACAACATGGCCTTTAAGATGCTTGTGACTGCACATAATTCATCGATGGTGCCCTTCACGGGTCGAGGCTGTGCATCCAAAGTCGGACCCATCCCGACAGCCCGGCAGCAGACACACAGAGCAGGCGGCACCGGTGGAAATGTCAGGCTTGCCCTGACGAGAAGGCCGGTACTGTGATCACGTTCCGCCTCGCCAAACCACACAGCGCCGCAATTGTTCATCTAAACTAATGCACACACAGAATGTGATCGCTATGAGAAACAGTCATTTCTAATGGATGGAGCAGAATGCTAAAATGATGAAAGAAACAAAGGTGTTTAGAACTGTCCAACGACATCATGTAGCGCCAAGCTGAAATAAAGGTATGTGATCCTCGCAGCACAAAAAGCCACAATCTAATCAAAGTAATTAAGGATACATTCAAATGTGAATGCAGATAGAGAAGTAAAGCACGTTACAACCCAACAATAGAAGGCCAGTGGTCGCAGTGGGGGTGTGCGTGTGGCCCTTTGGTCCATCGGGTTGTAGGTAAAGCAGTCAGCTCATTACAAAAGGGCCCTAAATGCTGTGAGTAAAGAGATAAAGAAGAACACAATAGTTTGCACAGTGGACCTAAACGTCTCACATAGGAAGAAATCCCTTTTATTCAGGTGTGTCTTCCGTGTTTTGACGCTCACACGTGTGCACCAGCCCTTATCTGCGTACCTTCAGTTCTCCAGTGGACCTCCATGATGGCGCCAGAGGGTAAAAGATGGGAAGATGTCTGGCCAAGCTGAAGCGCCTCTGCAGGGAACGAGTGTGCAGCTGAGCCCCCCATCACCGGCAGACCTCTCTGGTCCAATCCCGGTGTGCCTTTGGGTCTGGGCGGGGCTGCAGCTTCTCACAGCTTCTTACCGGCGTAAAGGACAATCAATAAGAAGCATTTCGGTTCCCCTCCTCCCGCTCTGGGAGAGAGCGGCTGCCTGCAGGGCTTTCTGCACCTGAGCTCATCCAACAACTCAAAAGCCATTGCGTCTCTGAGATGCGTATCTCTCGCCTTCAGCCCAGAGGCCAAACACCAGCGCACATCCTTTGTCTCCGTACTTGACTTCAGACCCTTTCATACCCTCGTCCCTGTCATTTTCTGTATTAATTATTCAGGGCCTTCCAGCCTATGAATATAAATCCATTATGTCTGCCCTGCTACTGTAATGGGAAAATCCACTTCAATTAAGAGATTGTGGATGAAACGATATGGGGGGGATGTCGGATCGGGCCAGTCACGGACTCACGGGACGTCCCTTCACTTTAGAATACATACATCCTATAAATCAATGCAGAGGCGATTACATTATTCACATGCGTTTAATGGCTGCCGTGCTATTGTTCAACTGTGGACCCAGCGTGTTCCTGTGGTCCACGTTGACTTTAATCACTGAAGAATGTTCTGTGTGCATTCATGCTGCAAACTCTGAGTTTCATCCTTTTGACGATGGGACACTACATGCAAAAACAATAACGTCATCATGGACTGCTCATTTTCCAGATTCTGACTGCAACGGCCTCCATCTTTGTTCCTGCATGGCCCTGCTAACCCGCCCGCTCTGGTGATGGATGCTGGACTACCTCTGAACCAGCTCACGAGCCCGCCCCCCCTCCTCTACTACCGTGCACGGCCATGGGCTGGCAGACACGCTCGCCGATGCATTCAGGGACACACTCTTTGTGTCAGTGGAAATGAGATGTTTTCACACTAACGTGTGGCCTTGGTAAAGCTCTGCACGTCAGCGTGTGCACGAATCAAAGAGGTTGTGTTCAATGTGTGACACTTGAGAGCCCTGAATCATTACTGTTGGTCAGCTGTTGGCACGATGAATTTATAATCAGGACCCCCTTAAAAAAACTTCACACAAGTCACCCAAACAGAAAAAGCGTGCCGTTTGCATCCCTGACACTGATTGGACACAAGTGTAAACAATCAGGGACCCGGCAGACAATCACAGGGGGGACGGGGGACACAGGGGGGACGGGGGACACAGGGGGCAGGAAACTACAAAATAAAATGCGACACAAACCCACACCGTGACAGGATCACAGTGGTTCCATATTATCAGGGTTCTTTCTTCTGTTGGTTTCTACGACTAGTTCACAAGTTACTTATACAAACTAACTCATTTCCATATAAAAACCACACCACAAAAGTTACCTTTTAAATACGACACGACCCACTGTGCACATCAGCAGCACTCATTCATTCCTATCCTACATTCTTGTTAATTGTTATATAAAAGAAAAAGTAAATCAAACAAACATTGTCAATATTACACATCACTCATATCTGTGCGTGAGTCAGCAGCTTTTGCTGAAAAACAACATATTAGTATTGTATTAGTATTGCTCAAAGTTAGCACTGAACCTCCAGGGTTCTATGTGAACACCCACAACGCTGCTGCTGTTGGACCACAGGAAAGGAGAGCCGGCTACACACTGTACACACACACACACACACACACACACAGACACGGCAGCACCTGCGACTCACCAGGAATATCCTCTCCAGCTGGTCCTGGATGTCCTTCATCCCTGGAAAGGCAGCCACCCCTTGGATCATCTCAATGAAAATGCAGCCCACTCCCCTTGAAGAGAGAGTTCCATGAGGTAAGTAATAGCACAGCCATTGCAATCATGTAGGTGTTTATATCTGCACATATAAGACACTAAACAGGATACAGAAGCCTGTGAGAGTTAATTGTATGCCATATAATGTATAAAGGTGTATCAATATGCATGTTGTGCGTGTCTTCTAATCTGGTTTCGGTTGCTACGGTTATTTAAAAACACGTAAACAGCCGTAATCCAAAACTTTTGAATGACGTCCACTTGCTCGTCTCAGACTTTGATCCTTACCTCTAGAAATAGGCTAATTTTACAACAAAAGTTCTGTATATTACTTCATGAAATAGTTTGCAAATAGCAAAGTGGAACAAGTCTTGTGTCCATTAGAGAAGTCTTTGCAAAAGGAAACCTTCTTTCTGTCTAGTAGAAAGCAATGGGCTCGACACTGAGGACCACAGGAAGACATGAGACAAGAGACGGACACATTGTTGGGTTTGGTCAAGAAAATAATTGGATAAGAAAAGCCTTTAGCATGCTGGCTAAAGATGGTGTTCAATCCCAACTAAACCGGAGCATTAATCTGTGCATGATCCCACTTGAGTGATGTCATTGTTGACTGTGATTGACCGAGCTTGCAGGAAGCTAAAAATAGAGCAGTCGTCCATCACGTCCTCCCCTCACAGATGGCAGCCTGTAACCTGTAGGCTGCTGTGATGGATGCTTATGGTGGCAGGAAGACAGATCTGTGCAACCTTTTGGTCCTGCAAGAGATGCTGCTTCATGGAAGACTGCTTCCTAAGAGACCAGGGGTGTGTGTGTGTGTGTGTGTCTTTGTGGGGGAACGTCGGGTAGATGAAGCACCACCCTGTAGATACCCTGGATGCAGACACACTCTCCCTGTGCCTCACAGACCCCCAAAGCCCCCGGCTGTTTTTAATTGGATGTTGGGGAAGGCAGCTGAGGTTCACGGGACGTCCCTGCTGACTGTCCCGGCAGAAGGGGTCACCAAGGCTCAACGTGGAGTCTAACCCCAGTATGGTTGGAGGGAAGCCTCAGGGGAAAGGGACACTGAAGGAGGGAGGGGGGGGGCAGATACTTCCACCTCTGGCGTACTCATTTTCACTTTTCTGTACGCCATTCAGCAGCAGTTCAACCCAGGTTGGATTAAAAAGTTAGCTTTCTCAGCACAGACCAGACGGGACGTGGAATCACATAGTCCAGGGGTCATCAAGGTTTTTCAGGCCAAGGCCCCCCAAACGGATGGCGAGATGGAGCAGGGACCCCCCATTCTACGGAGTTTGGTTCGCCATCCTTTATTTTGTAGCTTGGCGCTCTTTAGACGTGAGCATGAATGGATGTGATTGGCTGGTGCCTGTGATGTCGTATCAGCATGATGAGTGAACCGGTGTCCAGCTGCAGAGAGCTGCTGTGGGACTGAGAGACAACGTCTCCGTAGATTTATCCAGTCGCTGCAATGTTGCACATGTTGTTAATGTGTATTTAAAGACAATAAATACAATTCTGAAGACTGAGTTTAAATTGGTTGAAAAAAAAAAAAAAATGAACCAAAAATGTATCGACGCCCCTGTTGAAGACCTCTGACATAGTGTGTTATATATTTTAGTATCTGATCAGAGTCAAATATACAAGATGAGATTGCCATCTTTTGAGATTGAAGCCGATCTGGTCTATTTTATTCATGCAGTAGACAGTCAGTAGTCAGGCGCGCGCCCACAAAGCAGACAGTCGCGCCACAGTTTTTTTTTTACATTCAAATATTAATTTTCAATATATATATTTCAATGTAGAATATAGTTGACAGCCCTACAGTATAAACCTGTTGCATATTAATAGGACTGTCTTGAATGTCACTTTCACCACTTGCAATTGCGCAATAGAAGAATCAAACTTTTGATGTTCATTTCTAGTCAGGCATGAAAACAGGTCAAGGGTGAAAAAGGTGAGAAGGATATTACCCCTCTAGGGCAGGATCATTTTTTGCGTATCGACGAGGGGGGGATGGGAATTGACAACAACTAATAGGGGACAAGTCATTAAATACTCGTCATGCATTATATTGCATTGCATATCATGTGTGCTGGTCAACTAGTCTAAAATTACTTTTAGACAAATGTTTGCGTAGTTTAGAGTGACAAATCGTACCAGCGTACTTTGAACAGGTTGGCAGGTCTGCTGCTTGTGGAGCACTTTACCTTCTGCCTCGTCAGCCCCCTCACCTCAAAATCCACAAAAACGGTCGCGTTAGCTATTCATTTTCCACCGCAGCTTTAGCTAGCTGGCCAACGCCGCTGTGTTAAATGACTCCATTCATCAAGCTGTAGCTAACGTTAGCTAAGTCTGTGTCAACAAAGCTCCTGGGTAACTTGACTTAGATAGACCAGAAAATATTAAAATGATTGAAACCATCACTCACCCTGTTCGCAATTCACTGAATCTCGCGCTCCCTTCTGACACGCGCACCTGTTGGCAGTTCACTGAATATGAATACCCCCCCCCAAAGAAACTCATCAAATCTACACGATTCACGTAGGTCACCTATTTTGGTTTCAAAACGGCGAATTTCGCCGAAAGGTGAGGGATTTTCATGCCTCTCTAGCACAGGTGTGTGTGTGTGTTTATTTATTATAAATAGCTCTTTAGCCAGACTACCTCACTGTCCTGTGCTACCTCAATGAGGTAGATCTTTGCCCCCCAGGTACCGTAAGTACAACACTAGATTGGATGCTTGTCGTTATCTGAGCAGCACTGGCTTGGTAGGAGGTGAGACAATGAGCCGCTGCTACCACACTTTCATATCCATCACCTAAACAAGAATGAAATGATGAGCTGTGACTAGTGTAGAGCTGTCAGCGCCATCAGGAGGATGATGAAGAGCAGATGGCAATTCATTTTACAGCAGGTATGTTTCTTTTACTCAATTGCTGCTTCCCTTAAAACTAACCTGAGTTAGAAAAGAGACTATGGAGGTAACGTGAAGAAACTATTTGATGAACTCCTAACAGCAATAAGCTGCTGTTCAGTGTTTGCCTGGGCTGGGGGACCAAGAACCAAGGACTAGGGACCACGGGCTCTGCACGTGTCGTGCAATGGCAGAGAAGAGAAGGTAGTGACGGGCATAACGCAGGAACTCAGGTAGGGGGTCCGGTTTCCGCCAGCACACAGCCACTCCCTGAGCGGACATATGGACTTAGGACATTTGGAAAGTAGGAGGCCTTTACATGTCCCGGGTGTTGCTACAAATCGAGACAGCTTTTCACATTACAGCTAACTGCTAACTTAGCTAACTTAGATTTGATTCAATGTGGGACTTGCTGTTTTGTTAAAGAATGAACATTTTGATTTAGCGTCATTCTTTGACGGACCTCGAACCAGAGAAGAGCCTCACGAGGAAGTTTGAGTGAGTAACAAGGAGTGGTAGTACATGTGAGCGGAGGGAGGGGTACCGGAGGTGAAGGTTGACCAAGGGGACAAAACTCTGCTTAGAAGTGGCTTCTAAATGCCTTACATGAGGAATCTGATGCAGATCTAAATGGAAGCACCTGAATAAATCAACAACGAGTGACCTCAGGGTTGGGGTGAGGGGTGCTCACCACATGTCCAGGCAGGTGGAGTAGTCCGTGGATCCCAGCAGGACATCTGGAGGCCGGTACCAGAGGGTCACCACCTCGTTGGAGTAGGTATGGCTGGGGACCGACTTGGCCCTGGCCAGGCCTGAGGGGAGAAATCGTTATCATTGACTGACCCTCAAAAGGCTCCTGGAATGGAATAATAAGTCAAATAGGCTCACGCTCCTGAGAGTCTACCATGATCATAAAACCATGCACAATATGTTGGATAGAATATAGAAAATAGTGAGATGTTTGTTGTATTTGTAGACAGGGTTTAAAACTGGGAAAGAATATCACCATAATATCACCAATAGACCACCGTGTTTCTGTCCTGTGTGAAACAAAAACTCATTGCTGACTTCATGCTTGTTATATACAAGCACATGTACACACAGTTCATTTTAGCACATGGGGAGGTTGGCTTTTCCCTCTGTTACAAAACGACAGTTCCTATTGTTTTTACCTTCCATTGCTGTCTGTTGACCAGGATCATTAGTTGATGGCATGGCACACTTTTAGCTACTTTTAAGGTACGCTTTAAAAGGGTTAAGATGGCGCTCATCTTTTATTATAAGGATTACCACCCATACATTCTTTACACTAGTGGTTCTCAGCCTAATTTCCGTGGTGTACTCATTGTCAAATTCCTCTATGTGTAACATACGTGGCAATAAATGGCTTCTGATTCTTTTTGTGAAATATTTTTTTTTTAAATATCACGACCCCCCTGGAGGACCTCCACTTACCCCCAGGGGTACACACATCCACATCTGAGAGTCACTGCTTTAGACTGTACACATAAGAGACTGTAAGATTTTACAAGCACTGATGCATGCCTGATAGTTGATCATCTCATTCAGTTCCTGAAAGCTTTCAATATTCAATGTGTGGCCACTTGGTTTGCATCTTTGCACTTGGCTTCTGTACCGCAAGAAACCCTAGATTTTCCCTTTAAATCATGATGGAAGACTTTTTGAGCATATATATATATATATATATGGCTGTCAATAGATACAAACAAAAAGTGTCTCATATTTTTTAAATTCATTAATGAAAAGACTTAACCTTATAAATTAACGAGTATTTTGATAAGTGTGTAATTTAGACAAAATATATTTTGTATTGAAACACAAAACTCCACACGCGTGATCATCTTGGAGGCAGAATTCCACCGGGTGGAACATGTTGAACTAGCGACTCTTCCTGTTGTCCTCGTGTACTTTGTTCTCGACTCTCCATCATTTAACGGGTGTGTTTGAAGTGCCAACTATGTCCCTACATTTAGCCAGGACGTCTTTTTAAACCACTGTCTTTTAGGGACACGGTGGTGGGCGTCTGTAGACGGTCCAGCGCAGGGTAACGTTAGATGTTGAGATGGAAGCAGCCCAGCAGCTACCAACATGTTCTGGTACTATCAGTATCTATGTGGTCCGTTTGCCACTCATTTCCTTCTGTTTGACACGAGTTTACACTGGTGCGCCTTTATATATAACACTTTATTTTATTGTGGGTTCGACAGACGGCGCATTCTCCTCCTTCTGTTGTACCAGGGGAAATGTACCATCAACTTGAGATTTCATTTTTCAAAAAAGCAGCTACTTTTATTTTGCTATTGAGGACATTTTTGTTTTCTTTCTTTGTTACGTGACAATAAATATTGTCAAAGAGTTGGCTGGCTCGTCCCTCGTCGTGTCGAGCAGACACTCGGTGCTTCTGTCCTTCTAGAAATCTTCTATATCTAGACCTCTTTACATCTGCGTCCTGTTACAGAAAATCTTTTTGGGTGAACCAGAGAGCCCGGAGAAAACCCCAAACCACTTGTCTGCCCACCCTGTCTCTCAGACTGTCTCACACATTGTATATCATACTCTCACACAGTCTGACACTCTCATACGGTCTCACACTCTCATAACTCACACACTCATGTCTCACACATTGTATCTCATACTCTCTCACACACTGACACTCTCATACGGTCTCACACGCTCATGTCTCACACACTCTCATACGGTCTGATACTCATGTCTCACACACTCATGTCTCACACATTGTATCTCATACTCTCTCACACACTGTCTGACACTCTCATACGGTCTCACACTCTCATGTCTCACACACTCGTGTCTCACACATTGTATCTCATACTCTCCCACACACAGTCTCTCAGACTGTCTCACACATTGTATCTCATACTCTCTCACACTGGCTGACACTCTCATACGGTCTCACACACTCATGTCTCACACACTCATGTCTCACACATTGTCTCTCATACTCTCTCACACACTGACACTCTCATACGGTCTCACACTCTCATGTCTCACACACTCACGTCTCACACATTGTATCTCATACTCTCACACACTGTCTCACACACTCTCATACGGTCTCACACACTCATGTCTCACACATTGTCTCTAATACTCTCTCACACACTGACACTCTCATACAGTCTCACACTCTCATGTCTCACACATTGTCTCTCATACTCTCTCACACACTGACACTCTCATACGGTCTTACACTCTCATGTCTCACTCATTGTATCTCATACTCTCACACACTGTCTCTCAGACTGTCTCACACATTGTATTTCATACTCTCTCACACACTGACTCTTACGGTCTCACACACTCATGTCTCACACACTGTCTCACACTCATGTCTCACACATTGTCTCTCATACTCTCTCACGCACTGACACTCTCATACAGTCTCACACTCTCATGTCTCACACATTGCATCTCATACTTTCACACACTGTCTCTCAGACTGTCTCACACATTGTATCTCATACTCACTGTCTCACACACTCATGTCTCTCACACACTGTCTGACACTCTCATACGGTCTCACACTCTCATGACCCACACACTCGTGTCTCACACATCGTATCTCATACTCTCACACTGTCTCTCAGATTGTCTCACACATTGTATCTCACTCTCACACTGTCTCTCAGATTGTCTCACACATTGTATCTCACTCTCACACTGTCTCTCAGACTGTCTCACACATTGTATCTCATACTCTCACACTGTCTCACACACTCTCATACTGTCTCACACTGTCTCACACATTGTATCTCATACTCTCACACACTGTCTGACACACTGTCTCACACACTCTTCTACTGTCTCACACATTGTCTCTCGTACTCTCTCACACTGACCAACTGTCTCTCATACTCTCACACACTCTCATGTCTCACACATTCTCTCATACTCTCTGAAACACTCTCTCGTACGGTCTCACACTCTCTCATACTGTCTCACACACTCATGTCTCACACGTTGTCTCTCATACGGTCTCACACACTCTCTCATGTCTCACACATTCTCTCTCATACTCTCTCACACATTGTCTTGTTGACAGATGGGTAAAGCCTTTCAATCCTAGTTGACAGTCTGGCTGGCTCGTCCCTCGTCGTGTCGAGCAGACACTCGGTGCTCATGTGGGTTGAGTTCCCTCTGCACTCGTTGGATGCCCAACAAACTTTCAACAGTGCCCTTTGTTTATCAGTCATCCTGTTGAAAAAGGATCTGACATGGGGAGAGATGTTCCTTGTCATCTCCTCCTCCTCGGTTACTTGCGTTAAATACATGTGTTATTATGACTATTTTCCTTGTTTAAGCTGTGAGAAGCTTTCTGCCACTTTTCTTTCTTTTCTATCTTGTCTTTTTTTGTTACGTGACAAGAAATATTGGCAAAGAGTTTTCTAATCTTACTGAATTCATTTGATGTCAGTTGTGTATTGATTAAATGCAGATGGTGATACAACTATAACACTCTTCTTAATCACACTAAATAGTTACATTATGATCTTCCGGACATTTCCTTCTAGAAATCTTCTATATCGAGACCTCTTCACATCTTGAATAGCCCTGATTCATGATATATCGTTATTGTTCTTCTAGAAAGTTGCTTTGGTCATTGTGTCGAAATTTTCAGTCATGACTTTTTCTTTTTGTTTTTCTTCTAAATTTTCCACCACCAAGGTGGCTCAGACAGGTGCAGTCTAGTCCCACAAGGAGGCTTCTCTGGTCTCCACCCCTCTATGATGGAGGGTGGAGGTCAGGTGCCTAGACTTTGTGAGGCAGGACGGGCGCACGCTAAAATAAAACATTAATTATTTTGGCGGCGAATGTTCCTACGACAGAGCGGACCCTGGAGAAACAGGAGCTGATTTTTGATGGTGGCATCACATGCTGTTGGATGGCGAAGACGATGTAGGTGTCGACTGGCTCGAACCCAGACCTCAAAGCCTGCTGAACCAAGGCTGTGCTGCCCATCTTCTTTGACACATAGCTGAAGATGGTCCTGTCGATGAACGTTTTTCCAGACACGTCAAAGTCCACGTCCTGGACTTTGGCCCATGTCTTATGTACCAGACGCTGGATGATGACCTGGGTTTCTGCGTCAATTAAGTCCCCTTTGCGCCTCTTGAATGCCTGACAAACCAACCTCGTCACGGTGCTCTTGACGTAGGCTCTCCTTGCGTTCTCCCGCGCTGCTGGGTTTTGTGGTGGCATCACGTCTGGCTCGTCCCTGGTCGTGTCGAGCAGACACTGGGTGCTGCTGTCGGTTGGGTTCCCTCTGCACTTGTTGGATGCCCAACAAGCTGCCGTCTTCATGGTGCTCCCGATGTTGGCTGTCCCTGCATTCCTCCACACCGCGGGTTCCTGCCAAAACCTGCTTTGTGATGGACGTTTGAACCCTCCTTCCATCTTGGAGATGTTCCTTGTCATCTCCTCCTCCTCGATTACCAGCGTTGTATACATGGTGTGTATTTCTGTGTTTAAGCTGTGAGAAGCTTTCTGCGACTTATCTCAAGCAAGGCTGCTCTCCAACTGACCAGGAGAAGTTCTGTCAAGTCAAAGCTTCTGCCCGTGTCATAGATCAAAGGGCTCTCGTTGCTAGGCAACCGGTTTACTGCAGCTCTGTCTGTGACATAGCCATGGCCCCTCCCACCGCCCATAGTTACTGTTGCTATGGGTTCCATGAACGCACTGAGCTTTGTAGAAATTCTGACATGCGCAGTAGTGGCTGGAGTCCGGCTGAGCGGGCAGTATGTGGCCCCTTACCTGAAATGACTTTGAGCCC